CCCTAGAGCCCGACACACAACTGTAAGACGCTAAAGCCCCGACAAAACACTCCGAAGCCCTAGAGCCCGAAAAATTTCTCTGAAGCCCCCAAAGCCCTGAACATTAGGGCTTTAGGGTTTATACAAATAGGTTCTGTTTTTTGGGGGTTTTAGGGTTTTGGGGTTTCAGGTTTTAGGGTTTCAGGGTTTAGGGTTTTAGGGTTTAGGGTTTTAGGGTTTAGGGCTTTAGCGTTTAGGGCTTTAGGGTTTAGGGTTCAGGGTAAGAGTGCAAGGTACTTTCCTTTGGCCTGGGTGCGCTTCTCTCCCGGTGCATGGAAGCCTTCTATACAAGGTGCCTTGAGCTTAGGCCGCAGGCTTCAGGGTCTGGGGCGGCGCGTAGCTTAGGCATTCTGTGCAAGTTTGACGGCTCTCTGAAGAAGATAGAGCTACCTATAGTCTCCATTGTAGAACCTTGTTTTGGTTTAACCAATTATATATTAAAGATTGTATAAGTTATCCTCCAAAAAGAACTACAATGGAGACTATAGGTATTGCTCATAATCTCAAGTGTGGGAGGGGTCCTGCTCTCTGCAATAGTAAGAGACGGATAGACAGAACGATGGTTAGATGGCTGGCCGGACATAAATGGATAGAAGGAGAGAGGGCACGACTCAGCCATTGCTTTGTACCACTACTTGGAGAGCTTGCACCAGTTTGCTTGCGAAGTTGTCATGGGTCTGCCGGCTAAATCCAAGGCAACTTCAGTGCAGCTAGTTCCCTTTTACCTCAAGTCTGCAAGGCTGATAGAGATCGTCCACTGCCAGTCATAAAGTTCTGCACAGCTCCTAAAACCTGAAGCCTACCGTAACCTGCTACACTACCTGCGTTTTAATTACAATTTTTGGTACTTACAATTTTTGGTAGGTCTCTACTACATACTAAGATCCAAAACATAACATGCGCATATGTGCTTCGCGACTTATACTTCGGTAGGAATGTATATGTGGGAGCCTTCGTGCAAACATCATGCGGATCCAGCAAAGTGCGACCTGAGAGGCGCTATGCAGCGGCCAAGGATGCATCACCCATATCGGATCAGGACGACGCCTTCAGGCGGTTCAGCGTTTAAGGTTTTGGGGGTTTGGGTTCAGCAGTAAAGGTTTACTGTGGCTGTCAGCGCTGTCATGGGAATGTGGTTGCAGGGACCGAACCATAAAACCGACCAATCCCCAAGAGGACCGGAAACGGTACTTCAATTCTCCTAGGCTCTATGCATCAAGCCTCCCTATTGCATGTTTGTCCGGGTGCCGGAACCCAAAGACCCTGCAAGCCTTAAGCCCCATAAAACATGTTTAGACACCTACAGGACCCTTGTAAATTCCTGTAAAACTCTCATGGCCCTGAACCCTTCAAGAATGCTGAGAGCAGGGACAAATCTTGCCGCTTCGGCCTCATGGATGTTTCGGACCCGTTCCAAGCATACCAGCTGAAGGGAATAGCCCAGATGTAGCTTTTAGGAACCAGCAACGTAGGGCCTAAACATTTCAGGGTTGAAGACCTCTTAAAGTCATCTCACCCAAGGCGATCAGCATCGTAATAGGGTTCAGGGTTGTGGCTAATAGGTGTAGGGAGTTGGAGTTTAGGGGTCGTGGCCAATCGTATAAGCCGATCCGATCTCAGATGTATGTCAGAGTGTGCTCTGAGACGCTAGAACTACCAGTTTGCATTCCATCAAAAGAATCAAAGACACAACCTTCAGCTTCGGCTCATGGGGCTCGCTACACTCCCAGCCAGCTGCAAGCCATATGCAAAACAGTTCTCTCCGGATCTCGTTCTTTGGAGTTGAGCTCTTTCAGAACCAGCACGATTAACAGTAGAAAGCGTCCTGAACCAAAGCCAATTTTTTTGTAACTAAAGACCCTAAACCCTGAACCCTAAACCCTGCCTCAACCAGCATGGTATTCCTGACCAGAAGCGGTATGGAAAAGAGGTTTCAAACAAAATTAACGACGCACCCAAAGACTCCAAAAGCGCCAGGGGCGTGGAGATGCAGCCGGAGCCGGCCTACATGGGGGCTTGAGACACGGCCTTCTCTCGGCCTTTCTGTACACACCTAATCTAGGGACCTTTTAAGGTTTACGGTTTTGGGTTTTGTATTAGAGTTTAAGGTTTAGGGTTTAGGGTGAATGTAGGAGCATAAAAGATCACCAATACTATTTTGGGGGTTCCTTGTTATAATTATAGTATAATGGGTCCCAAGCCCTATTCTGATAATAAGGCCCCTGTATTAAATGCATAATGTGTGTACTTCTATTGGAACTCAGACTTACATGAGGAAGCCGGCGCTCAGATTCTGCAGCTGCAGCGAGCAGCCGATACCCGCAGAGACCTGGGAAAACGGATGCCTTACGTATGCAGGGGCCTAACCTAAAAGTTACCATTACCAATACTGAGGTTTCCTCTTAAAATCGCACTATAAAGGAGCCTTAAACTCCATGGCCTCTATAGTATTCGAACCTGAAAATTGGTGTCTTCTTATGTTGGTGTCGAGGTGTTTGGGGTTCTAACGTAAATGTATATCCGTACATTGTAAGGCCTGTGAAGATGTGCTGATTTTGCGCTTGCTCAAGCGAGTTAAACTTGGGCTCAAACGAGTTAAACTTGGGATCACACAGCCTTCCCGCTTAAGAGCTTATACCCTGCAACTAAGGGATCAGATCCCGCTATTTTGTACGGTTTGGGGGTGACAGGTCTAGCATGTACGGATCTCCGAGCATACGCACGAAGGTTTCAGACTACAGAGAAGGTGCCCCACCCCTGATCACAAGCCAAATTCCAGCATCTTACAGAACCTCCCATGCATTTTTACAGACAAAGGGATGTCAGGCCAACGCGCCAAGCCAGCACTCACAGCCAACGAGCAGAGTGGGAGATATAGAGCGCCAACGCGACCGTGAGGATATGAACGTGTTCGATCTCTATGTATCGATCTATCGATCTATCGATCTAAAGATCTATCTATCTATCTATCTATCTATCTATCTATCTATCTATGCTATCTATGCTATCTATCTATCTATCTATCTATCTATCTATCTGTCTATCTCTCTCTCTATGTATATATGTATATAGGGAGTATATATGGTGTATATATATATATATATACATACACATATATATATATATATATACATATATATATATATATATGCCCAGAATTTACGATCGTTGCAGGTCCACAAAGCCCTGCTTTCCCAGAAGAAAAAGAAGCCGCGTCCAAGAGGGAAGGAAGCTGCGCCAGGTCCCTGCTTAATGTGAGCGCTTAGACGCATAAAACCCAGTGACCGTTTGGTTAAGGACCCCAGAGAGCCCAATACCCCTTAATTAAGCAATATGCCTTAAACTATAAGGGGCTTAATATTATGATTTAAGGTATATTCCTTCATTAAGGGGTATTAGGCTCTTTGGGACTGTCTGGCTATCTATTCAGCTATCAGCTCCCTCTCTCTCTCTCGTTCTTTCTCTGTCTCAGCTCTGTAACTGTCTGTCTGTTTTAGAGTGAGCCATTACTTCCAAGGCCCTGAATCCCAAATCTCTAAAGTTTATAAGCGCTTACATGCTGGACAAGATCCCGGGAGTGTCATTAGATTGCTCTAGTCCTGAAGTCAAATTATGGAGGGATTCATCGGTAAACGCGAAGCTACAGAAGGATCCTTCGTAGATCGGACCCGAAATCATAGTATCAACCACCGAAAGGGACGAGACCATACACCAGCAGACTTTTGAAGTATCTTGTTCCTTTCCTTTCCATAGCTCTCTGACGAATGTCATTATCTTTGCATCATGCAGGGGTATCTGGGTTTCGGCAATCATTTTAGGGCATTTGCCTGTCAGTCAGCTAATGTCAGATACATAAGTTAGGCTGGGTAGGGCCTCTGAATGTTTGGCGTGTATGAGCTGCAATCAAGCTTTGTCATGGCTCACAAGTAGGGACATCTCAAAGAGAAGGCGCTCTCTCCGCGAGGAGGTGTGGCTGCACCACGGTTTGGTGGCCCGCCGCATTGTCTCGAAGAGACCTTTGTTTATCTAGCTATAGTCTCCATTGTAGTTCCTTGTTTTGGTTTAACCAATTATATATAAAGGATTTTATCAGGTATCCCCAAAAAGGAACTACAATGGAGACTATAGGTAGCACAGGAGATCAGGATTGGCTAACCCACCTGTTCGTGCAACGGAAAAAGCAGGTCGGAGACAGCTTTGAACCGGTTTCGGGTTCAGGGTTTAGGGCTCTCGCTTCTGCATGAGCTTGCTCAAGTTTCGGTGCCTTTCCGTGCTAGAGGATGCTGTCATCTAGGGACCTCGCTCCGCTGAGCTGGTAGTAATCCTCAAACCCTACCTGGACCCTAAAGAACCTACCTTTCTAAGGCTCCTTAACCATAAGTCCTGCAAAAAAAGTAGGTTTAAGATCAACCTGTAGCCCTAATCCTTTACATTTCCGTTTAAGATGTCGGTTTTGGGTTTGATTTCTATGGTAGCGGTGCACCTGTACCCTAGAGAACCATAAGGAAATCATAATAAGGAACCCTCAACCCTAAACCCTAAACCCTCAAAAGAATTCACAAGTCTGTGTCCGAGGCTGGCCCTGAGCTGCGAATTCTCTTCATCCCGAACACCTTGACTAGGGTTTAGGGTTTAGGGTTTAGGGTTTAGGGTATAGTCTCCATTGTAGTTCCTTTTTTGGTTACGGTTTAAGCAAGCATATATGAAGGACTGTATAAGGTATCCCCAAAAAAGAACTACAATGGAGACTATAGGTAGACCCGACAGGAGCTATGGTTGCCTCTGTAGTGCCTTCTTCCCTTCCTGAGACCCTGAATCCATGTTCCAAGTGTCTTGCGTTCCAATCTGAGCCCTAAGCCCTTTAAGGCATAAAACCCTACATCCCTGGCTCTTACACCTTAGGCTCTAAGCTTCTGATCTATATTTCCTTCCACAAAAAGTTCTCAAATTCGCCAGCCCAGGCTTGAGAACGAAAGCTCGGAGCCCCGCGCTGCCCTCTTCGCTTGGCCGAATCCTCTGCACGGGCTTCGGTTTTACATAGGTTTAGGGCCTTAGGGTCCGGGGTTATGGAGGGGGTCTAGGGTTTACATACTGTGGCTCGCAGTAGATTTTAGGGTCTAGGCTTATTGTGGGGAGAAAGCTTAGGTTTCAGGGTTTGTCGGGTAAGTTTGATGTTGCGCTTTTGAGTTGGGATGTTCACGATTGGTGTTACAGGGTTCGGAATGCAAGCTTTTTACCCTGAGCTGCAACCTTTGCACCTGACCGGGCAGGTTTATGATCAACAGATGGCATACAGGCAGGTTTATCGTCAACATATGGCATTCCTGGCACAGCCGGTCGCGAATGCTGATGCTGATTCTATTTTCTCAAGCGTTAGATGCCTATAAAACGGAGACCCATGTGGCTTGTTGCTCTCGTGCTTCCTGGTGGCATCAAGCTGTTCTCAATTATATCTTATACTTTTCCGTGGCCGCATTCATTAGTTGCGTTCTTTGCTTTGTCTATTGCGCAGGTTCCGCGTGCCGGGCGTCTACACTGGGCACACGGAGGCCCGGAAGCTTAAGCCTTATAACCTTTACCTAGAGTCCTTATGTTGGCAACTCGCTGACATGCACCTCAAGGGAGAAGAAAACGACCGCGAATCTTGTATGACATGGTCTCAGGATGTTTAGGATGTTTAGAATTCGGGTTTAGGTTCCATCCGTCCTTCAGGACCGTGATATCGAGAGTCCGAAGCCCCGTAGTCCCAGGCCTACATGACGAAGGATCCGAAGTCGAATTTCAGGTGCACCTACCTACTGGAGCCTAGTATGTGCTGCAAAGCTTTAGGGATTCAGGCCTGCTTGCCCTGAACTCCCAAAGCCGAAAACCCAAACCCGAAAACCCAAACCCCGAACCCCCACAGACCCCATAAGCCCTAAACTTTAAAAGATTCTCGGTCTCCGGGTCTCCCAATCTTTAGGGGATATATTTGTATTATATATATATATATATATATATATATACAAAATGTTTGGGCATAAAGTAAACCCTAAACCCTAAACCCTAAAAAAGCACACTCAAACAGGAAGTCGATGCCAGGAGAATTTCGGCCCCGAGGGGCTGCGCCGGGCTGATGAGTTCCGTCGTTACGTGCGGCCGCGGCTGCGGAAGGCCTCAGGCTTTCCCTAACCCCCCACGTGCCCACTATAGGGCACTAGGGGCTCTAGTACCCTATATAGTAGATACCTGGGGGGTTAGGGTTTGCTTGAGTAGTTGCAAGTTGGGCTTTAAGTTGGGCGGTTAGAAGTAGGGAGACTACAATTATCACCCATATTGGGGGACTTGTAACCCCGGCTAATAGCTACCCATGAACCTCCAACTAGGGTTTACGGTTCACGGGTTTAGCTGCGATTGCGGTTTGGGGGTTGAGAGATTAGAGGTCACGGGTTTAGGCGGGGTGCGTTTAAAGTGTGGGGGTTTAAGGCGTCGGCATTGTGGTGCTGGGGTTCGGGGTCTGAGTCGTCAGAGCGGAGTATTCAGCTTAAGACTTCGGACCCTTTACGGAGGTTTCTGCGGTTCGAGTTTTTTGATTTGGGATTCACCTGTAGTCTCCATTGTAGTTCATGTTTTGGGGTACCTTTTGGGATCCTTAACATGAACTTGGTTAGACCAAAAATAAGGAACAGCAATGGAGACTATAGGCAGGACCTTTTGGAGATGCTGCGGCGTTGATGTCCGAACACGTCAAGCGCCAACTTGTTTTGGGACTCCCCCACCTGCAGCATTCGCAACTTTGGTGCCTTTAGATGTGGCTCTCAACCCTAATTCCTCTATACTATATTAGCTATAAGCTTCACACTCACCACCTTAGACTCCCTCGATGCTGAACCCTAAATCCTAACCCCCGAACCCAAATCCCCAAGCCCGAAACCCTAAACCGCCTAAACCCGAAACCCCTGAACCCATATCCCCAATCCCTAAACCGCAGGTAGCCACCGAGCAGCGCGACGCTTGTCCAGGGGCATCGGGACCTGCGGCAGAGGAGCCTTCACAGATGCATGGGCTGTTCTTCAATTCTAGATGGGTTTCCCTAACCCCCCAGGCACCTACTGTAGGTACCTGGGGGGTTAGGGTTTGTAGGGCGTAACAGGAGTTCTGAATGCGCTCAGGGTTAAGAGGCTATTTCATTGCGGTGTAGCGTCCCCGTCCTTTGATTGGCAATGCTTGACATGAGTACTTGGAGGCTCATGGGTAGTTATAAGTAGGGTTATAAGTAGGTAACTATACTTATAACCCATATTCGGGAACTTTTAACCCCACTTATAACTACCCAGGAACCTCCAAGTAGCAAGATTTTGGAGCCAAGCACCTTGATGCCTGACGATCGCTAGCGCAGTGTCCTGTCAAACCCCCATAGCGATTTCAACCTCTCGTGACCCGTCCACACAAAACCCTCCTTTCAGTTGTGTTGTTTCGAGTTTGGTTTGCTTCTCTCTTAGACTTTGGGACTGTGATCTGAGGCAAAAAACTACAGTATTGCACACACGATGAAAGGTTTCCGGAACACAGACATCCATACGGCTGGTTTAGGTTTTAGGGTGTAGCTTTCGAGGTACAGAAAGATTAGGTGCCCCATTCCTCGCCGTACAGTACTTCCTGGCCGCAGCTCGCCAGCATGCCCTCCTACCATGGAATTTCAGAAGGATTCCGGAGCTGCGTTGTCAGGAATCCTGAAGCAGGTATCCTTAAACCCTCAAGCTTCAACTCCAAACCCCTAAATAAACTCTAAACTTCCTAAACCCTGCAGCAGCTTGGGCGGTTAGGCACGTAGTTGATCACAGGATCTCCAGATTAGGTCCGAAACTCGGTCTGTAGCCCAGGGAACAACGCAGCCTAAGGTTCCTAAAGCCCTACCTAACCCCCAAAGTCTGCAGAACAATCGCCGCTCTCAGTTAGGAGGGTTTAGGGTTTAGCGTTTGTTAACATGGGCCATGCTGCCTTAGCCTTATGATGACGTGAGTCTATGGCACCCTTGTAGTTACCATACACCCCAAACCTCAAGCCCTAAACTCCTAAACCAGACTAAACCATAAGCCCTTACCTTATAAAATCGTGGACTAACCCCTAAACCCGTTTAGACCCCAAATCATAGAGCAAACCCTAGATCCTATAGAGACTAACCCCTAAACCCGAAACCTCAAAAAAACCCAAACCCTAAACCCTACACCCCAAAACCCAAAACTCTACACCCCAAACCCTAGACCTTAAACCCTAAACCCCTAAACCCTAAACCCCTAAACCCTAAACTCTTAAACCCTAAACCCCTAAACCCTAAAACGTAAACCCTAAACCCCTAAACCCTAAAACGTAAACCCTAAACCCTCAACCCTAAACTATTAAA